GCACATATGAAATAAAAATCGCATTTGTTGTATCACCGAGAATAGTGCTACTATACCTTCTATGGTTGTGTACTGAATTTTTGAAATATTACTTATTTTGACCATAGAAACACCTCTGTAATTTATGTAAATATATGCACTACTAATGGAACAAATACGGTATACAATATTTACTGTTTTTGTGAAGTAATCTTGGGTATATATATATTTTTCAGAATTGTTTGAATCTTTACCAAGCCAAGCACAACACGATATTTTACTGCAAGTAGCAGGTTGGTTCAAGTTTTCATACTTTACATTTGTTTTACAAGTTCTTGACAGATGTCCTACATGTACAATATCCTCAGCTTTGATTTTAAAGAGATCTTGAGTCACGATGTAATTCATATGAAAATATCTGCTCACAACTCTTCTAAGGGGGATTTGGATTATAACCTGATCTGAATCCTACTTTAAGCCAATAAGCTTTTGATTGTGTTTAGTGCTGAGCTCCTCTGTTAAGTACAACAGCAAATATTCTGTTGGTGTCCAAAAGTATTAGTCCATGTAGTATTAGGTTTTGAGGGCTGCTGCAGAATTTGATTTGCCAGTACATTATTCATTTTTAATTCTTCACCATTAGCAGTCACCTTTGTGAAAAATAAAGGTTTTGAGGAGTTTCTGAAGGCTCAAACTAAACTGTTAAGACCTGTTGCAGAAATTATGTCCATTTGGTTTAAAATTAATACCAAAATTATTTTAAATAATCATAAAAATATTCAAAAATAGTTCAATTTCATAGTTTGGCAGCCATTTTGGTATATTACCGGTAGTGTTCTCCTGGGAGCTTTTTGGTCATGGAGGTACAAAAAAAAAAAAATATTAATAAAATATTAAAAAAAAAAACAAGCCGCTAATTAAATCAAAGTTGGTGATCATATTGAACGCCTATCACCTGTATTCTACATCCCTAGTATATTCATTCTAAGAAGGATTATGACATATTCATGTATGTAAATATCTATGAAAATCTAAAAAAAAAAACATTTATATATTCAATTCATCCAGCTGGAATGGAACTGAATATATACTGTAAAATACTTTATTTTCACTGGAATTTATTTTCGCTGGAAAGACTTTTAGGTGTGTTATATGGGATTTATTTTCACTGATTTTTGGCGAGTTGAATGTAAAAGATAGGAAAAAAGGGATATTCGCTGGATTTTAATTTCACTGAATCATTCCTTCAGTGAAAATAGCGAAAATTAATTCCAAGTGAAAATAAAGTATTCCACAGAACCAACTAAAACTCGAAATGTTACAAGCATAAAATTATGCGTGTCAAAATAGTCACATGACCTGGTTGTTACCATCTGAGGGCGCTTTACATATAGTACCGAAGGTTCTTTTTTAAAAGCCTGCCTTTTATGTTTCTCATTAGTATTCCGCTGCTGTTTATATCTCAACTTTGGGATCTATTGCCAATGTGAGGAGGGCCCCATATTATGTTCTCATTGTGACAGTATATTAATGGTCCTAATTGCGTATAGACTTGTGTTTAGACAAACTGTTCTATCATAAAGAATTATGGGTATTTAGGGGGACAAGGTTGCTTATGTGAAAACATTTGCGTTTGCCCCGAAAAATACTCATAATTGTTTACAATAGAACAGTTTGACTGTACACAGAGCTATCCTCAGAAAAGAAGATTAAATCTTTGAGTGACACAGTCAACTTTTTTCCCCAATCACAAAGTGTTGCATTTTTGACAGATTTTTTTTCAAAATTTTGTAGTCAATAGGAAACTATGTTCATTTGGTCCAAAATGATATAAAAAATTACAGTAAAAAACTAAAAAAATAGTCAAAATGATGCACCAATAGGTTGGTGGGGAAAATTATGTCCCTCAAAGTGTTAATGCATTTTTATCTGGATTCCTGTTTTTCAGAGCATACTAAAGATCTACTGTCACATTGTAAATTACAGTTGTTATTGATTAGTAAGTTTCGAAATGCTGTTATAACACATGGGGTAAGTATATTTATACTTTCTTGAGGACACCCAATTTCCCATCATGCTTAACACCAATTGATGAAGGTAATATCAGAAAGGGTATCAGATTGGGTCATTGTATTTCTGGATGTTTTAGCGATGTTTGCAAAACCAGTTGTAAGGTAAGGTATTAAAGTAAGGGTATTCAAATGTCATATTCCCCATTCAAAGATTGGCCTTTAGATGTGAGCTACGAAATAAAGAAATTCAAGTTCAAAATCAAATCGTTTGTTTTCTGCAGCAGACGTTCTACAGGCATCTTACACACAACTCGCGTGATCTGTCATTGCAGGCTGATTTACGTTATTCTATTTACCTGCAGGTCAAACTTGTTGAGACATTATTAAGTGCTGAAAAGATGCAAGCAGAAAGGAATCCATTGAACTGCTTCAGAAAATTACTAGGTTTGTGAGCAAGGGATTGTGATGGATATTTAATGCATTATAACTGTGTTTTATACAGCTCCTCTGCAAACTCCGACAAGTAACATATTTTTTTTTCTTGGCTGCTATCGAATACTGTAAAGGGGTTAATTATTCACTGGGTTTTAATTTTGCTTATTTCGCCGACTGAAACGTGCGCTAAATTAAAACCCAGTAAATATGTAAAATTGAGCATAGAACACATTATCTAAATGATAAAACCGTGAATTTAAAACCCTCTGAATATGCCTGAAATGGTAAATCAGCGAAATTTAAACCCAGTGAAAATTAGCCATTTTACAGTATTCAGTACTTAATGTGTGTGTTTTTGATTAAATGCACTGCGTGTAAGTGTTGGTCGCCATTTTATATAATTTGGTAAGTCAAAACACTGTGCAAAATTTATATACGACAGAAAACAGTGTGTGGACCATGGCACATTGTCAGACAAGCAGTGGTATTCTAACAATCATTTGTGGAAAAGTGAATTGTTTGGAGTATTGTTTCTGCTATTTTTGGCATTATATCTTTGCCATAGAAACTAATGGAAAAACTTTTCTTACCAGCTCTCACAAAATGACAGGCAGCCATACTGTCAGGTGGTATGGACTGTAACTCAATCATCTGAGTTAAACTAAAGGCAGCCATACTGTCAGGTGGTGTGGACTGTAACTCAATCATCTGAGTTAAACTAAAGGCAGCCATACTGTCAGGTGGTGTGGACTGTAACTCAATCATCTGAGTTAAACTAAAGGCAGCCATACTGTCAGGTGGTGTGGACTGTAACTCAATCATCTGAGTTAAACTAATGGCAGCCATACTGTCAGGTGGTGTGGACTGTAACTCAATCATCTGAGTAAAACTAAAGGCAGCCATACTGTCAGGTGGTGTGGACTGTAACTCAATCATCTGAGTTAAACTAAAGGCAGCCATACTGTCAGGTGGTGTGGACTGTAACTCAATCATCTGAGTTAAACTAAAGGCAGCCATACTCTCATATCATGTGGACTTGAAAAATAGATAAATGGGTATTATTTTTAGTAGGCTTCTACATTAGGCAGCTCAGTTCAGTTTTAAGTGAAATCACATTCATATGTATAAGTGATCTTGGTAGATTTATCTTTTCAATATGTGTGTTTTTTCTGTTTGATTACTTGTACTCAGTAGAAAATGAATTCAACAAAATACCTATAGTCAAAAAATTGTATAAACAATATTAAAACACCTCATAATTGAATTTTGATATGTGTAGTCATGGAAAAACACAAATTGTAGTAGTGCAAGTCTAGTTCAGAAACCCTCTCAACATTCCAGCATCACCTAAAAATGTTTACCTGGCCAGTAATGGGAATAAAATAAAAAAGTCTATGAAAAACAAAGGTCTCTGTCGTCATCGTTGTTCATGTTGTAAACTTTTTTCTTATTTTATTTTCCAGTTTGTGATGTTCTTCCTATTTTGTTGTCCATCCCTGATGTGCCATGTTCCAATAAACAATTAGCCAAGTGGTTGCAGAAATCGATAGAATTTTACATTTGCTATGCAGTTAGACCAAGGTCAGCTGACAACAAATGCGCGACACCAGGATTTAAAAGTCCTTTGAAATCACCGGATCCATCCACATCAAGGTAAGAATTAGGTACTTCCATTATTTTAGAAAAATCTTTAGAAAAAAAAAATTGTATGTCATGTTTTTATTCGACTAATGTAATATAATCAATTGCAGGTTTGTGTTCATTGAAGGCCTCACCGAGAAAGAGAGCACCATCGTTACCCCCTGGGCTAATTTGCATAATATTCTGTTACTGACATCGTCACGGCTTGGATGGAATACTGATAATGTTGTTCCAACAGACAGGTAAGGAATAAATAGTTCAGGAAATAGTTTCCTTTCTCTTCCCACAATAAAGATAACCGGTGCAATGAATGTCTGTATGTCTTGGAAGCATGTCTGTGTCTTTTTTTCTTCACAAACTGTTTACACATTCCCATCAAAGGTCATACTTTCATAAACTTTTGGTTGTCTGACATTTACAACCAGCATATACAATTTTGTATTGAAATAACATTAAATTACTAACTGAACTAAAGGCAGCCATACTGTCATGTGGTGTGGACTGTAACTCAATCATCCGAGTTATGCTAAAGGCAGCCATACTGTCAGGAGATGTGGACTGTAACTCAACTATCTGAGTTAAACTAAAGGCAGCCATACTGTCACGTGGTGTGGACTATTAACCCAATCATCTGATTTAAACTAAAGGCAGCCATACTGTCAGGTGGGGGGGGGGGGACTGTAACACAATCATCTAGTTAAACTATATAAAATAAAAACTCTTTTCTAACTGTGAGTGTGTGCATTTGTTCTTTGAATACAAAAGAAGTTCTGGAAGGATAACATTTGAATGTACTGGGTATTGGCTTCACATGCTGTGATTATAGGTATGAGACTTATATTTTATCCTCCTTTGATGGGTACATGGAAGTATATACATTATGTTTGTGGGAGAAGACTTACTGATAAACATTTGCCTCCAAATTTGGCAAAATTAGTCAGTCAGAATAAAAATAATTTGGTTGAAAATTTGTCAGAAACAAAAAACAAACATTTGGGCAGAAATTAAATGTAGTTGAAGATTTTTTTTTCCTGCAGTCCTGGCGCAGTCCGAAAACGGGGATTTATGGATTGACCTCTATGCGTCCATGTGTCTGTGTGTCCACATGTCCGTATCTTAGACATGCCTGGACTGATTACATTCAAACTTTACACATACATCATACATAATATTATACATATGCACATCAATTTGTTTTACGATCTGATTCAATCTAGCCAAATGGCGCCCATTTTTGTGCTGAAAGATCATCAAAATCAAATATTTATGGATGGATTTTGTTCAAACATGATAGATACGTTGGACATTATGGGACCTTGATGCACGTCATTTTATTTCTCAGATCGGGTTTAAAATGGCCAATTAGTGACCATTTTGTTTTAATGAATGTAGTTCTAGTGCCATATTTCTGCCATGCTTTGACTGATTATGTTCAAATTTTATATATTCATTATACATCATGTGTAATAGATATATAGATGTATTCAATATGGTTGATAGATGGCCATTTTGTTTTAAATAATGCTGTTCCAGAGCAATATCTCTCAATATGGACAAGTACTGGTTTGACGATCAGATACAAGTTGTCAATTATTTTAATGTTAAAAAAATCATCATAATCAAGCATTTGCTTCTGGATCTATATCTCTGACATATTTATGTTCCAGCTATATTATTATAAACAAAACCATATATCTTAAATTTGATAAATAACGGGTACTGTGCCATGCAAATGTTGTGGATTTAGAATTTGTGACAAAGGTTAACTTCGGCACTCAAAGAGTTGAATGACAAGTTTTTTTCAGACAATAATAGATTTCTGAACATTCTTTGTTTATTGTTTTACACACAGGAACCACAGACAGCAATGGTTGTACTTATCCAGGGTGTATAAAGCATGTCAAAAGATGTCAGATGAGAATAGAATACAACACATAAAGCCCGTTTTCTATTCACTTATTGTTCTTTTATTCCAATGTTTACATGGCTATCTAAAATACAAAGATCCTGAACAGTTCGCAGGTGAGAAGACAGGGTTGAAAATGTTCTTGATTTTTGTTTATTTCCCCAAAAATTCTGATGTTTTGATGAAATGCTTATCAATGCTTACCGTTAAATCTGTATTAGAAGCTGCATCCTTAATAGAAGGTGCGGACATTCTTTCTGAATATTAGAGAACTAAATTTCACCATTTTAAGAGATGTGTAGATGTTCTAATAGAAGCCACATCCCCTCTGTTGCATTGTGCCATTTTAATAGAAACCGCAGCTTCTAATACAGATTTTACAGTTGTCGTAGTTACGGTTTCTAACTTTTAAATGTGAATTCACAAATTTGAAGATTTATTGTGAATGAATCAAAATGAATCAAACTAAAAAAACCAAAAAAATGGTGAATTATTTTTGAATTAATTCTGCAAAACAGTAAAAGTAAAACTCTTTTTACCAACCTGAACCAATTGCTACATAGTCTATGCAGTCTATGGTTTAAACATAATTGTCTACGGTATATCAATGTCTTAGGCTGGTTATTTTACAGTTAACAGTTCACCCAGTGCACAACATGGAACACTTGTTCTACTGCACAATGTTGAAGTCGCTACAAAGAAAAAGAAAGACAAACATGAACATAAAAGAGCTCGACTTCTAGATAAGGTATTTGTTCTCATTTGTATATTACGGTACTTTTCTATCTGTACTGCTATTTGTATTATTATTATTACTACAAAGATGGTATTTGAGAAAACATTATTGATTTAAATTTATAACAAAAATACTTTTTTGCATATTTTTTGTCAATATTGAAAACATCTTGTTATGTTTCAGAAAAATTAATGATAATTAAGACAGTGTCAACAATTTATCAACACCGATTACTTTCAAACTCTACCCATACATATATATTTGCAATATTCACACAGCAGCATTCTATCATAGCCGAACTACTGCTCCTCCCACCGATTATCTCAAATATCTCTGCCATAACTGAAAGGAGAGGTTACTTGAAGAAGACGATTGAGGGTGTGATTTTGGCTCCGATAGTTGGGCCCGATGCGTATACACGGTCAGGGCCATGTCGGGGCTCAACCCTATCAGAGTTCAACCAGAGGGTTTATTGGAGCCAAATTGGCTCGAGCCGAGCATGTATACAGGGCTATTTTTGTTGGCTCGAGCTGTAGGGCTCCGATAAAATGCTGTCATGTGAACGTAGCAATTTATTGCATTTCAGTTTTGTTTACCTTTTTCATAACATGTCTGTGACTTGTTAACAACAACAAAAACTCTTCCATCGTTGCCTCCAAGTGTTCAAAGCTTTGATTGGAATATATTTGTGGTTTACACAGGATGACATCACAGAGACTAGTAAAGAGCATATTAGTGTATGGGGAATGAACAAAGACAAAAGTGAATTATTGGAATCATTTACTACGGCTGTTATATGCTGGCAATTGATACAATCTGATGAAGTATTCGATAAAGGTCAGTACATATGAAATCAATAAAAATAATATTGATACTTGGTGAGATAAAGCAGCGAGCGAGTGCGATAATACAACTGAGAAAAAATTACGAAGATTAGGTTAGAAAAGACAATTATTAAAATATGTACAATTAAATTTAGATTAAATATATGTGATACATTTCAAGAATAACCAAATTAATTTTCAGTTGTAAAAACTCGTGATTGTGTAAAAGTTTGATCAAAATAAATAAAGATTGGGAACAATAATGTGAATATTCACACTGTAGATGACAGTAAAATATTAACTCTACAGAACGCATTGAGTTAATATTTAAAGTAGAACTGTGCATATATGTATTCTACTTTTTTATTTCTTATGTTTTTTGGTTGATCATTATTGTCTACAGCACTTACTATGTTAATAAACAAGCGCTGCTTGGATAGATAAATATTATATATAGTAGATAATATTTGGTAATTGTTGTCCTCAGTAACTATATTTTTAATAGTTAGAACAACGATTACCAAATAATAACTACTTACTACGTTATATGTGCATCGATGATGATCGTAAATAGTTCTATGTCATGATAAAAAAACATCTAATGATGACCAAGCCCAACAGATAATATAGACATTTATTTGAATGTACCTGCTTGCCTGTAAACGCACATAGAACTGTAGAATCTGCTTGGCATCAATTTGTTGTTTTAGCTTTGTATGCACAGTTCTTATGACTGTACTACTTTTAGTTGCTTGATTGTTTTGGCATTTATTACATCATTGCGCAAATTGAGGATTTTGTCAACTTTTAAATTCTTAAGTATTATTTCATTGCAATATTTAAGTGGCAACAGGAGAAAAAAAAATGATCTGTGAATCAGACGTTCTCTTAAAGTATAAAAGCGAATATATCAAACTTCACATCATCTGAAAGATTAGATATAGGTGTTTACATCCTGAAAATACAGACACTGTGCTTTTTTTGTTGAACGGGTATATGTGTATAGTATAATCACTTTTTAAAATTTAAGAAAACAAAGCGCAGTGCCTTTGTTTCAGTTTGTTTCACATGTTGTATATTATTTAAAGATGGCAAACTGGCAGCCAAGCACATATTCAGGTGTGTTAGAAACAAACTACTTTGGTGTCTGAGAAATTGTCATTCTATTTCAACATTTTGTCATATTTCTTTCGGCTATTTTGTTTTGTTTAGATTTTAAATGGCTGCTTCACTACTGGAAGTCTATAAAGTGGACATGGTTGACATCATTCCAAATAGACATGGGTGTATATACTGTGAGTCAATATAAAATATACTGAATACAATGAAACCTTAATCATATCATTTCTTTGCATTGATCTTTGCTTATTCCAGCACTTGTTTGCTCATTCTTGCTCACTTTCTATGATTTTCTTCCAATCATCTAGTACTGTGATATCTGATGCTATAATCTTTTTTTTTTTTGCTAAAAGGATGATGCTTTTTGTTTGAAAAACATATAGTGTGCTCAGTACTTCTTGAATGGCTGTGTGTTTATCTTCTTTAGTCCATAGCTTCAGGAGGCTGTTGGTGCACCCATGACCAGACGCACCTCTTCCATCCCTTTCTGTCATCAGCAAGATGGTGAGGCTGCTCACCATTCTCTGTCCATTCTTTGATGTCATCTTCCCATTCTCTTCTTGGCCGTCCTCTGTTTCTGCAGCCTTCAACCTTCCCTTGCATAATATGTTTTGTTAGACTGTTGTGTTTATATGAATGCATATATGTATACAGATTTTTTTTTCTTTATTGTCATGTTATCAACATCCCAAATTACAATAAAAGTTCAATGAAGAATATTATAAGTTACATACATATTTCATGATGTCATTTCCTGTTTTCAGATTAGGTGATGAAGTCATTTATCATGGGTTTTGTTGTCATATTGTTTCCTTAAAGTTATTACTCAGAAAAAAATTGTGTCCTTGATGAGACACTGCATTGATAAAATTGCTCTATTTTGTTCAAATATTCCTATAGGATATGCTAACCATAGTTTTGCTATGTTTTTTTTCCAGGGTGATACTGCCAAATCCTTAGTAATGCTGGAAGAACGGCATGAATCAGGAGAAATACAAGTATGTGTGTTTGTTAGTACTAAAATATTTGGGGTGTCAAATGTCTGTTCTTGCAGTTGTACTATCGTAGACAGTTCCGAACTTTTAATGTCACTGTTGTCTCTCCTGCAAATCTCAATTGCAAGTACTACTGCTGAGCAATTGGCAATTTAATGTGCTATCCTTACGTCAACCAGGCTCGGTTAAACACAAGCACCTGCCACCTCTCGGCCAGTGGATTGGCCTTCCCATTGAGTCTGTGGCACACCCACCCAGGGTTTCTGGTATAATGTGAAGTCTGTGTAAGACAGAAATCTGTCTAAAGTAAACATATTTATAAAAAATCTATAAACAAAAAATGGACCTTGTCTAAACTACCATGTATCTTCCTGGCCTTACTGTACGTGTAATATAAAGACCAGAATATCGATATTTAATGTAAACGCTTAATCTGTAAACATTTTTTCAGCCCCAGTGTCCTGTTTTGACCAACTTCACTGTCATAGTTTCTGCAATAGATGAGTTTTGAGTTATAGCATGATATTTCGGTTCCCATGCGAGAATGGGGGTTGATTTCTACCTTGCACAATTTATTCGCTGGGTTCCCTCATTCCCGGTGTTCTAATGATCTATTGAACGATTATGTGGCGAAATCAACCCCCCCCCCTATACAGATATAATTGAAATGTTTTTACACCAGAGCATACAAGTTACTAAGGTAACAATGGAACTCGAAACTTGTTCATTTCATATGCTACTTGTAATTTTTTTCAATTTTTTTGGACTAAATCGTATGTTTTGGGGTTTTGTCTGTTCATATGTCAATTCATCCAGGATTATTTCCTGAACATGCCTTCACCAATTTTAAAGGTTTTTATATTGACTACATCATTGACAGTATGTAATGTTAACTCTTTCAGGGTCAGCTTGAAGCTTGTTTACAGCTGTCATCTTGTTTCCTAGCAATGAAGCACTATCAGGTCAGTCCCTTGTCATATGTGGTGCCAATCATGGGGGGAGTGTGTTTCTGCGATA